AAATTTCACACATCATCGTATGGGAAGCTTTTAATGAAGAGGCATGCTTTAGTAATGAAGAGGCACGATTTTAAAATGGAGAGGCTCAAGGAAAAAATGTGAGAGAAAATATGGGAGAATTGGCTCAATTTTCTCATATTTTAGTGAGTATAGAAGTAGTAAAGACGTGAGCAAATTTTGGCATAATATCCTCTTGAATTTTCACCAAATTAAAGTACGAAGAAGGTAAATTAATTGACTAATTTGGACCCAAAGTAAAAAGTAAAATCAGTGCAAATTCACATAAAAATTAAATCTCTCTAAATTGTGTTTTAGGATATATGCATAGAAGGCTTATATACTCTAGGATCAATATCAACTCAATGTCTCATGAAATAAAAAAGTAAGAGGCCATGATACCTTGCTATAATTGAGAAGTTACAACCACCAAAACTTCTATGGATGCACTAATGAATGTGAGAGTTTCCAATTGAATTACCATGGAGCTAGGGTTTCACCTTGAAGCTTATGTTAAAGCTTTAATGGAGCTTCACTTTTCTCTCATCTATGTGCCACTCACTGTCCTCTTTCTTTCTCACTCTAAAAAATCTCATATGGTGAAAAGCAAGAACAAGGAAACCTAAGGGGGGTGTACCACTCTATGGGATGATTGATCTCTCAAATGGGTGATCAAGTATCCTATTATATGCTTGTGTAGCGAATGTTTCTACATGAGTTACTCTTGGTCATTAATTCAAGTCATCTATGACATGAGAAAGGGCTTGATCCTGGTCACTCATCACTCATCATGTCATCTTGATGAGTGAATGAGATTCAACACTATTAATCTCATAATAAATCATAATTTTTTTTCAAAATTCCTATCATTAATCGTAAATGCAAATTCATATAACATTCAACTTGTTTCCAAAAGTGCTTGTGCAATTTTATTAAAATCAAGTGTAGAGAGTCTAGGTAAGGCCGTGCCCTTCTAGGAAATTTTTTTTTTTTTTAGAAACAATTTGAATTTAAAACTTCCATCCAATTCCATGTCATCAAAGTGTGCATATAAAACCAATTATATGATCCTAAATGTCATCATAACCCTCTTCCCCTTCAATGATAGTATCAAACTCATTAGGACACTATTTTTAAATTCTAAAAATAAAAAAAGATTTTTTATAAATATCCTATCAAAATAGTACTAATAAACAAAACAAATTGTTCTAACATACTCTATACTATATATTGAATATAAAAATACGAGGACTGAGAGATATTTTTTTTTCTTAGGAGAGAGAGAGTGTGTGCATTAAGAGAGAATGGAATATTTCTAAAACTTGAAATTTAAGGTGAGAAAGCTTCTTTGCATTAGGTATTATGATGAAAGGGTGTGGTTTGAGAGAGTATTAGGAGAATGCAATATTTCTAAAACTTGAAATTTAAGGCGAGAAGCTTCTTCATAATACATTAAAAAGATATTTATGAAATTGAAAGGGTGTGGTTTGTATAAGTTGAACCTTAAACAATCAAAGTAGGAGCACCTCTATATCATCCTAAAAGATGCAAATTTTGGTGCCAAATACCCTTACAATGGCATAAAGATGCAACTTTGGTGCCAAATACCCTTACAATGGCATAAAAAATAATTTTCAGACCAATTTATGAAATTTAAGGCTCAAAAAATGATCGATCAAATAGATCTTTAAACATTTGAAAACTTTAAAAATAGACTATGTTACAATATGCATTTATTTTGAAAATTGAATTTTTTTTCCCATATCCATACATGTAGAGGTCAAGATGATAAATTACAGGGCTCTTTGACGTCGGAACATTTCAGGAGAGATTTTTGAAGTGCGCTTTATTTCTACCGTACAAGGTTGACATCTTATACGAACTTGAATCGTAGATTGGTTTTGAATTATTGATACAATGGTCCTACTTTTAATTTAAATTCATAAGCAATAACAGTTGTTAAACAGGCAAATCCTCTCATGGCTTCCTAGGAAAGTCACAGTTTTAATACACATGCTTAAACGCGCATCTGATCTACAAGAACACTGTTACCACATCTCTCTCTAAACATTTATAAAATACCAGATATCCTTTCCTTTCTTCAAATTAACCTAGTGGTCTAAATGAGCATAAGGCTTTCATTAGAGTTTCTAAAGCCAAGACCTTTCTCCTGAACCACATTGTCTAAAGAATTTTTGTGCTGATAAATGCTTATTGGAATAAATTTATAATACCAACCATTATAGAATTAATTGAAATATATCTAATTATTTTGACATAATTGTTGGTTTATGTGGCTATTAAAAGTTTCATAAGAGCTTCTATAAATATTTTATATAGTGAAACAAAAACTCAATGAGAGTGTAGTCCTTTTGTGTACCATACTAGGCAAATGTTATTTGCCGAAACTTAGACTTGGCTTGACGTGCTAGGCTAGTCGAGTTGGAAAACCCAAAGTACCTGAACATAGAACTAAACTGATGAGGGTTTTTTGGATTATCCCTTGATGAAATTGGAGTTGCCCAGATGAATGAGTTGAGGGACTGTGTGGCCTTTAGAGCCTGGGTCAAAGCCTCATACCTGAACTATCACATGGCATGTATATAGATAGCCATATTGGGAAACAGAACCACATTTAATAGTGAAACGTATATATGTGCGAGAGATTACCACAATGCACCATAGAATTGTAGTTGCATCATGGTCTAGGGGACCATGAATTTGTATTTAGGGAAAAATATGTAGTCCATAGACTGGGATAACGTCCCTTGGCCTATTAGCTGACTTTGGTGGCCCAATCATGAACCTCTGCAGTGGTCTGTGGGTCATAGGAACCACTGTGTTAGTTTGAGAAAGTTAGTATGGATCGTAGTCCACAATTGAAGGTCGAGTGATCCAGTATATTTATAATTCCTAGACCTATACAGATCCAATTCTAATAAAAATTATTTAATTTTAATTAAATTTATGTTATATGATTTTTAGAATGATTATTTGAATTTTTGTTATTATCTTGATATTTTATTTTTACTATTTGGATTTATAATATCAAATAAAATCAATTTTCAATGTTTCAAATAATAAAATAAAAATAAACTTTGTTTATATTTATCTAAAAATCATTTATTACTTAACTTAACATATGGGGGCCCACCATAAAAGGTGGGGGTCCACTATTATTATTTTAATAATAAATAAAATAGAGATCGTGGGTCCACTTGAAGCCACCTAGGGTGGCACGAACCACACAAAGAGGGATGGCTTGCCTTTTAAGTCCAAGCCCCTGGTACTAAGTTGGCTTTCTAATTTTGTGTTAAACCTTCTTGGTTTAGGAATCAAGATAATAAATTACGATGTCTTGAGAATCAAGATATTTGACTATTCAAATATTATATGAATATGGAATGAATATACGTAAAAAAAGAAAGTAAGATTATATTTTTTTTATTTGAATATTTGATGAGAATAAGTTTAGGAAATAGATGATAAGGTCATGCACCTTCCTTTGAATCTTGATGGTAGATCTAAAGAATAGATGACTCTGATTTTTCACCCTATAAGTCCCCTTAGATCAATAGTCTAGATTTGATCTCACTAAAGATGGCAAACCCTAAACCTTAAAAAATCGATAAATAGGGATCATCTCTCCTCTAAATCTCTACACCTCTCCTCTTCTCTCTTCTCTTCTCGCTTCTCTCTCTAGGCTCTCTCCTCTCTCTAGGGGGTACACCCCACTTAAGGAATTCTCTCTTTCTAATGTTCTCTCTCTCATAGATAGAACAAAGAAGACCTCTCATATGTCATCTCGTTAGGTTAAGCCAAAGGGTTTTTAGGTAGGCTAAGACATTGAGGTCTTAACACTTTAGTTTAAGATAGTTTCATATGTTCTCATAATTGGAGGGTTTTGCCATACTTAGCAGATTCGAGATTGACCATTGATTTCGAGCACCATTGGAGGAGGAGATTCAGTGTGGGGTATACTGAACCCAGTTGAAGTAATCTCCGATAACTTTTACTTGCTTTACTTTATGTATTTTTATGCTCTTTTATTCTCATAAAACAATGTGTCAAATTTATGTATTGAATAAATGAATTATTTTTAACGGTAGCAGGCGAGAACCGTTTTTTTATTTATTTATTTCAAGAGAGCTTTTATTTGCAATTGAACATTGTAAATGACCTAATTGGTGAAAGAAAAAAAAACTTTAAATTTATATACACCATTATTTTATCACATAATCCACCTTTCAATAACTCCCATAACATTTAATGCCAGCCATAATACACCTCCACCTTACTCCAACTACTCCTTTTTCATTTTATTTTCTCTTTATTTATTTATTTTTTAATTTTACTTCTTGTAATTTTGTGAGCGAGGAGATAGACAAGTAGCTATGTCCAAGCACCACAGCTACCTCGAAATTCCACCCATTTAAAACTCCAAGGGTAAATCAAACACCAATAGGGTATAAGAGTGCACATAGCTGTGACAGACACTTCTGTTATAAGTCATGGATTCTTATGAGCTTAAACTTTCCAAAACATTTTATGATTGTCCTCATGGTCAATTCCAAAAAGATGAGAATTGGTTTTGAACTCATAATTTCTGGGATCTAATCATCCATCAAGAGTCCTCACTAAAGGGCAAATCCATTTGAAGCATTTTTTATTTGTTTTTACTCCCAAATAGATTTTCCTGCTCTTTTTTCTGTAATTGAGTTAAGAGATGACTAAATACAGTTTGATATTTTTGAAATGCCCTTCCCCACCCCCGCCCCCAAATTAAGTGGTCCTCTGCAGGATGAAATGTACAATTTCGGCCCAGGACAAAATGTACAATTTCATCCCACAGGACCACAATCTCTCACATAATCCTGTTGTAAGCTAGTAGCCCAAGTCTAAAATAATCGGACTTTCAGCATTTTCACCTCTCCAATTCTTCAAATTTTCCAATGTAAGTGCAGAACAGATCAGAAATAAGATGGGATATCGAGCCTCAGGAATGAATCCTACTCTGCATGGAAGAATTATAATCATTTGATCCTCGTAAATGCATCATTTATACATACATTCTGCTGAACAACCATCTGTCTCATGCCACAAACAATAAATAATCAATAGAAACTGCCCAGTCCATTTTAGGGTTCAAATTTTCAAAAGAATAAAAATCTTTCTGCTTCCTAAACTCCAACACTGTGCAAAGCTTCAGTATCCTGCACCTCATCCATTCCGCTGTGAATGGAACCCTCAGATTTACTCTTTTGAAGATGCTCTAGAAACTCCATCACCACAGGATCAGTCCACGGAGCTCCAAATGGAGCTTCATCTCCTGCAACCCAGCCAAGATGGCCCCCTTTTGGAGTGACTATCAATAAACAGTTAGGATTTTCCTGAGAAGCAAAGATTCAATGATAAGTAGCTTTAAGGATTGGGTTACATATGGGGTTGTGTGTCTGTACGTTTGTGTGTCTGGGTGTATGAGTGTGTGTGTGAGAGAGAGAAGAGAGAGAGATAGAGATAGAGAGAGAGAGAGAAACTAGAAATATATAAAAATGCAAAAGTTATTGATTTACAACGTAATATGTGCATTGCAAGAAGACCCAAAAAACAAGGCCAAACTAGAACAATTGGGTGCCACACATACAATCAAGGTAACAATCTTTTGGATAATTGGATCATGACCAGCATGTAAAAATTCAATTCAGGAGTCCATATTCCTGAATTGAAAATGGGAATTTCTTGCTGGAATGCAATTCATGACCAGAACACATTGAATTCAATTCATGACCAGAACACATTGAATTTCTTGCTGGAATTCAATTCATGACCAGAAAAAATTCGATTTCTTGCTGGAATTCAATTCATGACCAGAACACATTGAAAATGGGAATTTCTTGCTGGAAGGCAAATATGGTCTACCCATTGCAGCCTCAGAGAAAATTCAAATATATATTTAGGATTAATCTACCCCAGCCAACTTTATTTTATCAGGATAATCTAAATGGTTCATTTTCAAGTGTTCGACCCTTGAAACCTATCTGAAACATAAACCAAACCAAACTACCATTTTCTTTCAACAGTTTTGGCTCTTGGCTCAACAGTTAGGGCATTGAGAGTACAATGTCCAAGTCATTGAAACATAGGTAACCCACGCATACACAACAAGAAAAAAAATCCATTCATTTGTTTGTTGGTCCAACCTTTGTGTCCAACTCATAGTTGTTGGGTACGGGAACAGGAACAGTTCCGGGATCGGGGACGGGATCAGCAGATCGAAGCTATATTGAAGATCCTTATGTTAGGGATCGATGCCTGTACAACCTCAAAGGTAGGGATCGAGGTCCATGTATGTTGGGGATCGAGCTCTTTTTTTACATAGGATCGAGAATTATTATATAAAGGTGCGAGATCCTATACATAAGAAGCAAAGTTCCCAAGGGCATCTTTTTGAGTTTCTTAACTCAAAGAGCGCATCAGTAAACATATTATGGAGCGAGAAATAACTTTTATAGGAGCAAGCTCCATTTTCTTAGAACATGAGTTCCTCGTGTAGGTTTGAATAAGGATCCATGCCTTTAAAATGTAGCTCTAACATTGTTGACCAATAACATGTAGGTTTAATCTTCTATGAAATAAATAAGGAACTTCAAACTAATCCATTGTTCATTATATTAATATGGTAGAAAGATCATTTCATTAACCAAATTATGACATTCTAAATAGTTGTGTAACAAAATACAACCCAACACCATATATACATGGAATAATTGTGTTGTTAGTACTGCTTTCTAAAAAAGAAAATAAAGGTGAGTACTCATTATTGAGGATCGCGAGCAATTATTTATTGATGTAAAATTACTATAAAATATCGTAACTATTGATGTTAAATATCATTAAATATTAGTGGGTGAGGATTTGGTGGTATCGTGTGGTGGGGGGTGGGTTTTGGGTGGGTGGTTGTACACAAGGAGGGAGGGAGGGAGGGAGGGAGGGCATTGTATAAACCTTGCAATAATGGAGGGAGGAGAGAGAGCAACGTCCAAAACCTTGGCTTTGCAATTTACCACCCAATATAAGGATTTTACAACCATTTGAAGGGGGGAGACAGATATTCCATCATTTCATACTTGCGATCCCATATTGGTGGGATCTAGATGCCATATATAACAATGCGTGTGTTCCATTATTTTGGAATCTAGATCCCAATACAATCTGGAATGTGAACCATAAGACTAGGGAACTAGATGCTGTAATGCTTAGGACCGTAAAATTAAATTGTAGGGAACTTGTTCCCTTACAACTCATGCCAAGCATATCCAAAAAGATTACCAATATCGTTGCAAAGTAGTTATTATTGCTTGGCTTCGAACAGTAATATTCAATCAAGGATCATATGACTTATCTTCACCAAAATCAATTCACAATAGATTGTCTCCAATGGCTAAGGAGCCAGTTGGCGATTTGCCTTTGCACTTAATCGAGGTTGACAGCAGTATTGTGTAAGCTAAAATTTTTACCAATAAAGAGCAACATTATGTAACCTACATTTCTCATATGTTGTTATCGTATTATTTATACTTGCACATTGTAAACCAAATAACATTATGTCATTCTAATGTATCCCTTAACAGAAAGGAATATTCTAAGAGCACTGGTTTCCTGAGAACATTGGTTTTGAGCACTACGACAAGACAACTACTGGTTCTATCCCTTAACAGAAAGGGATTCTAAGAGCTCTGGTTTTCCTGAGAACATTGGTTTTGAGCACTACAACCAGACAACTACTGGTTCTATAATACCAAGTTTAGCATTACTGTCAATATAATATGAAAGTCGAATTGGTGTAATCTTGATATTATAATATGCATAATATTGACAACTTCTATTAGCTAATAATAGATAAGCTGGGAGATGGCGGTGCCTAAGTTAGTCATCCATGGTGCATGAGAGTTACGGGGGCATGCATGAGAGCTATTGGTCCCAACTTTTGGGCCAAAAGAAGGGGTCATGCTGGGAAAGATGGCATGGATGAACATCAAGATCAAAGTCAGAAAATCCATTAAATCATGGTCACAGAATCAATAGTCAAGAGAGGACAGAATCAATCCAAGCAAATTTAGTAGGAAGGTTTTGCTCCAAGATGGAAAACAGAGGACTCGAGGAACGAGAGGCAAGGGTTTCAGAAGACACTATACCCACTCATATGCAAAACTCTGGAAAACAATGAACTATTCATCTTAAGATCCAAAACGGAAGAGGCAAACATTTTGAAATGGGGATGGCGGAGGTTTGAAGGCTCCTTACTGACGTTTTCATGATGGTGTCTGAATCATTCTCATCCTTCTTCCCACAAGGAAGAAATGGGTGTGCATAGGTTCCTTGCATGTATGGATCTATGAAGCTTTTTGTGATACTGCAAGGTATGTAGAAATTTAGTCCAGTTATACTGGAAAAGAATAGCCTGGACTTGCCTTGACACAGTGCATTTCAGGTGGATGTCATGGATGACAAGCCCATTCCGGAAAATAAGAATTTAAGCCAAATGTCAAATTAGAAAGGGGAGAGATGGGGAGGAGTGTAAAGGAGCAGAACAGGAACCAACCAATGATTACCAACGGACTGAAAAGATGAATGACATCACAATAAGGGAGCCCACCAGTAAAAAAATGGGTTGAAATCAAACTCCAGTGGATGGGAATGATGAAGATGGATTCTAGCTATCCGAAGATGGCAAAGGAGGAACCAGCAGTGCAATTTCAGGAGGGAAAGGATAAGAATGCAGAATGGAGATTAAAATTAAATTCAAAAATTCAAATTGAATTTCAAAAGGATTGGAGATGTACAAGTGGCTAGTAAAGGGACATGTAACCAGACAGGTTGACGGCTTCGAGGGACCTCAGACTGCCACCGGCAGAAATGACAGCCCAGATCTTAGATCTAGAAATGCATCCCTGCTGACAGTGGGGATAATGCACATGGGGAGCGGACCATGAGACAGCGAAGATTACATACACGTCCAATTATGGAAACATTGGAGATATTCCGCAATATGCGGTTAACACTGAAATATGGAGTCGACAATTTGATACTTTGATGCTAGTGATGAACAGATAAAGAGGTCGTTGCTTATCCTGAGGTGTTTTAAGGTGGCATGCGGTATCAAAGTTAATATGCCAAAGACCACCATATTCAGCAATCTGGTCCTGCATGTGATGAAAATCCTAGCTAAGTGTTCTAAGATGGCTAGCCTTCCCAGTCAGTGTTTGGGTTTACTGGTGTCTTGGAAAGCCATCTAAAACTTAGTTGGGGACTTTTAAGATAATAGCGGTTTTCATTATTAGTATCAAACAATTGCAAGGATGATGAGGGACATTTTGTGGTCAAGATCATCAGAGAGAGGAGATTTCACCTTCTTGAGTCAAGTAAAGTAGGGAAATCAAATTCCAAATGGGTATATCGAGAATTAAAGAGACCAAACAAGCTTTGCTCACCAAGTAGTGTTGGAGATTCAAGGAGCAGCATGATCATCATTTAGAAAAGGGCATGAAAATTGTGGTAAGGGATAGGTTCCTTGGCTACTGAAAGAATAGTAAATTAAGGGGAGACTATCAGGTATATGGAAGGGATCTAAAACTGTCACTCTTGCTACAACGATAACGCTACACAACTGGAACAAACTGGAACCTAACCAGTTTCTAGCTCGATAACTGGATTAGAACACAGCCACTTCGTATAAGATAACCAGAACTCTTTGCTTTTTCATTCAACGAGAATACTACTGTGGATGAGGTGGTAGTTGGAGAGTGGAACTCCATGTTTACGAAGAGGTTTGAAGAAATGGAATACTATCACCTTAAAGAATATGTTACAGGACTTAAAGCAGGTGTTCCTTCAGGGACAGCGAATTGATATGACACCTGATAGCAAAGAGATGTTCTCAACCAAGTCAATGCACCAAGTGTTTACCTACTCAACCAAATGAAGCTCTGCCGTTTGCGGGTTTTGGTTTATTCCTGGAACCCTCAGGATGCAAACATTCACGTGGCTAATGATATTTAACAAGGTATTAACAATTGACCATTCCATAAATAGTGGTATTACGTTAAAAAAGGTAATTTGTCTCTCTCTCTAAGTCAGTCACCACCTCTCTCTCTTGCTGGAATCTTCCTCAAAAGGCAGTGCAAAAGGAAAAGAATGGAAGGCAGTGTATAAAACCGCCATTGGAAAGCTCTCTATAATGCGGTGCACCATATTGCTACAATATGATATGGCGGTACTACAATCTATAAAAAGGGATGTAAAGCGTGTAAAACGTATGAAGAAAAACGAGAGCCAAAAAAAAATTGTTAAATGTGAGTGTGGTCTTCAAGACCACACTATATCATTGTAA